AGCCCCGCATCGGGCTCCCTGCTTGGTGGGAAACCTGCTTCTCCCTCTCCCACTCCCCCTGCTTGTGTTCCTGTTCTCCCTATCTCTCTCTCTCTGTCAAATAAATAAATAAAATCTTTAAAAAAAAAAAAGAAGATAGTAAGTAGGAAGGGAGAAATGAAGGGGGGAAAATCAGTGGGGGAGACGAACCATGAGAGACTATTGACTCTGAGAAACAAACTGAGGGTTCTAGAGGGGAGGGGGATGGGGGGTGGGTTAGCCTGGTGATGGGTATTAAAGAGGGCACGCTCTGCATGGAGCACTGGGTGTTATACGCAAACAATGAATCATGGAACACTACATCAAAAACTAATGATGTGATGTATGGTGATTAACATAATAATAAAGAAGCTACTTTGGGGCACTTTGAAGAATATCTTCTTGAGTAGCTAGATGTGTGATCTGATTTTAGGTTTCTTTCTGACATCCTTGGATGACTCAGACTGTTGCTTTGAAGAAATCTAATTGTCAAACATAGGTGAACTCAGCTCTCAGTCCTTGAGGGACTAATGTGTCCTCACCTTGGAAAGTCTCGCCACAGCAGGGAGCCACTTTGATAAAGAGGTACTGTCTCAGTAAGAATATCCTTAGCGTACACCCTCAGCATATCCCTATTTGCAAATAAAATAATGAATCCTACTATCACTAACTACTTTCTCAAGGTACAGCGTGTACTTAGCACTAGACTCACGTTGTCAATAGTTCAATAGTTTTTGACTACTTTCTTATCAGATCCCATTAGAATATTATTGCTCTGACCCTGTACCAGCGCTGATGAAGAGCTTCAACAGGAGGAGGAGAAAGGCCAGCCCTTCCAGTTCCTTTTGCATTTACTGGTCCTTGCATTATTTCTCTATATTTTTAATCTTTGGCTTACTTGCAGGAATTTTAAAAAGCAACTGATCCTGTTAGTGAGGATTTGTTTAGTTAACGGTGAGATAACAAAATTGTAAGCCCAGTTGTCCAGGCAGACCACGTGTGGTGCGTTGCTGAATGGGAAGGAGAGGGAGGGCATCAGCGTCCATCTTTCCGTCAGTGTAGAGTTCCCACTGCTCCCTCAGGGGAGCAGGTGACACATGGCTGGTCTCACCTGGGCAACTGAGGCAGGACGCCCATCAATCCGTAAATTAGAGATGAAGAAAGAATTCTTATTGTTCTAGATTCTTATTTTTTTAGATTAAGGCAGCCTGTGAATTCATAGTATTTTCTTCTGGCTCCACGGTGAATATCTTGGCACCCCACTTTGCTATTTCTTTCTTTCTTTCTTTCTTTCTTTCTTTCTTTCTTTCTTCCTTCCTTCCTTCCTTCCTTCCTTCCTTCCGTCCGTCCGTCCGTCCGTCCTTCACTTTGCCATTTCTACCTAAGGCTGTGGTGTCCGGACCCAAATGCTCACCGTGGCCAGAGTGTCACGGTGAGCCAAGCACCAGCTGATGCAGCAGGAAGGGACCCAGCACGGTGGCCCCTGGGGCTGGAACATCTGTGAGAATGGGTAGGTCCCGGGGTGGCCTGATCAGCCGACTCACGCAGGGAAGCCACACAGTCCAGGTGTTTGATTAAAATCGCTTTTATTTAAAATATCTTAATTTAATATTTAAAAGTAGAGCTGCACAGGCCATAAAAAGCACAAATAAAACTCATAACCTCTGCTTCTGGGGCCTTTCCCAGTGCTCCTGCTTTATTCCCCTCTGTATTCCCGGCACGTAGTCCAGGACCTACAAATGACAGGTGCCCAATAAGTCTGAGGACCTGAATGAGTGAATGCACCTGGGGACTGTGGAAGGCAGAATGACAGCTCCCCAGGGAAGTTCACATCTTAATGCCCAGAACAGAGAATATGTTGCTTTACGTGACAAAAGGGTCTTTCCAGCTGTGATCCAGTTAAGGATTTTGAGATGAGGGATTACCTCCAATTATCCATGTGGGCCCTAAGCAAACACAGGGTGTTATAAGAGGGAGAAGATGATATGTTGGAAGCAGAGGTTGAAGTGATGTGACTGCTGGCTGGGGCCACCAAGAAATGTGGCAGTGTTCTAGAAGTTGCAAAAGGCCCGGAAACAGATTCTCCCCTCCAGCTGCCAGAAAAAATGCAGCCCAGCCGACACCTTGATTTTAGCTCCTACTGGACTACAAGAAAATGCCACAGATGTTGTAATGGCTTAATATGTTTGGACTAACTAGTCTCCAGAATTGTAAAGCAACAGATGGGTGTCATATTAAGCCCTTACATTTGTGGTAATGTGCTGTGGCCGCAATAGGAACTGGGGCCACGGGCGGGGCATCCAAGCTAGGACATGGGCTCTGTGTCACTAAAGAGGGAGCTGTCACCTCAACCAGCAGCCAGCCAGGGACCAGGACTGCCTCCCAGCTTCATTCCAGGGGTGCTTCGGAAGCTAC